TATAATGAAATTCACACAATTTATTTATATAATCCATCACTCGACAGTATATGAATTTCAATTTAAAATGCGAGTCAACTTTATATATCACCTTATTTTATTATATCATATATTATATTTCTATAATTAACAAATATATGCATAAAAACACATGTATTATGTGTCAAAATATGCGACACTCTATTTATATTGAATAACAGTTAATATTATAAATTAATGATTCTTTAAGAGCGCTCAACAATAGTCACGGAATTGATGTCTAAGTCTGATGTCAATTGTATTTGCAATGCATTATTTAGTAGTTATTTAATGTTTGACACAATGACAGCGTTAGCAGCAAATATTTGCATAAAACTAAGAAAACAAAATAACTCAATACAATAGCAACCAAAATCAGACTTAACATATACTGGTAGATAAATGAATATGAATATCTCGCATACACTTACTCTAATGAGTCTTACTTTAACGTAATCTTCATATAATCTCCATTTGTCTCCTGTTTTTAACTTTTTATTTTTATGCAATTAATTTTAAGCGTAAATAGAAATCATTTTCATTAATATCTTTAAATATATTCTAAAATGTTTTTGTTGTTGTAATAATTTATTACTCAAAGTCTTGTAATATATTATGCCTTAATTAAGCTATTATAAACAAAAATAAATATTTATTTAATATACCTGTATAAAGTAATTATTGACTTTTTCTAAAATTATAATTAAATATCTATTAAATAGTAATAAACTGAAGTGAGAATCGATTGCTATAATTTTAATTTTGTCATAATTAGCAATCAAATAATCATCAAATGATTGTATCAAACACTTGACTTGTTTTGAGAGAAAATCAATAATAATTGAAAAGAAACTACAAAAACACAAATATGTGAGGAATAGGAGTAAGAATACAAATGTAAGACATAATGTAATAAATTCATGCACTGAATGTGAAGGCAATATAAACAATATTGTGTGAGCATTATATAGTCCTATATTTTATTGTGCAATATATAATACAAAAGTTTTGTTTAATTATTTCCTATAAGTCTTATAACAAACAAAATACTAAACTCAAGAAACAGGAAATTCAAGTGTAATATAAAATATGTGAAACGATTCCCAAAATATCTTTGACTCAGTTTTCAAAAACCAGAAAATGAGGCGATTTTTGCCATTCATTGCTTTTACCATTACTTTCACTCATTTAATCTAATTTTCATTTATAAATAGATTTCTCGATATTTATCTCCAATTTATAGCCAAAAGCATTGCAAACACTGTTCAGTCTAACCGTAAACTGCATTCAATTAATCATTAATACATAATATGTAAGTATATTATACTGTATACTGTAGGACTGTATCACTACTATTACCACTATTGGACACTATATCACTATTTTATGATAATTACCACAAAACACACACAATTTCATAGCAATTTAGATTCATTTGCACAACACATCCAAAATTGGCACCAATTTAGACCTAAATGTCACTCAATGACACTAATAGTGGTTCCGACATATATAGGGGACAAACATGTGCTCACTTACCCTCAGTCTTGGTGTCCAAGTCCCTCATGAGTGTGAAATTCCTCTGCAGATCCGTTGGAAGCGTTTCCAAACCTAAATGACGGGACAATGCAATTCCATGTAATTGAATAGTTGATGACAATATGTTTGGCACATACTGTCCAAGAAATGCTCCAGATAAGGGACAGCCATCACATCCACCACTCTATACACACTCTATTCAATGTATTCAATGCTATTAAGCACTGGATTTGCTAATTATATGCCAAATCCCGCACAAACACTGTCCACATGAGTGTCAATCACTATTGTCTCTCTAATAAAGGCCTTCCCTGTGCAGTGTGTATGTGCCATAAGGGCCTAACTCACACTTCATCGCTTTCCCTTTCAATCCATTCAATGAATACAATTACTTCTTGTAATCATTTAATTAATAATTATTTTTAATTTAAAATTTATAACTTTATTGTATTTTATATGAAGTATGGTGTTAATTACTATATTGCACTCCTATGACCATTTATACCTTAACTAAGAAACCTAGTTAATTATTTGTAAGTTATTGCCTTCTATATGTATTAGCTTACACAAATAAGTCCATTATTACATTGTAATTGGCATTCACTGAGCAGTGATACTGTATGATAGACATATTGGACTCATAGAAATCATATGGTAGACTTCAAATTGCAGTCTGCAATATTAATATTAATACTGTACCATTGAATTTGCATACTGTATCATAAGAATAACTGGAATATTAATATATCCGATTATGAATAAGGAATGCACCTATTAATAAATAAACTTGCAATTTATTATTCTAATTATTGAAATAAATATTTTTATTGAATTACTATAAACTAGACTAGAGAAAGTTGTTAGAAAATGGTCATAAACCATGTACTATTGAAATTAAGTTTTACACTTTAGGCTTACAAGTTAGGCTAGTTTTGAAGATAACTTTTTGTATCAGGTTAATAACTTATTAACTATTAGTTTATGCAAGTTTTTGTTAGTTAGGCTTTAATATAATAATTTATTTTATAGTGATACAGTGAAAATATTTAAATTAACTTGTAAATTATGAAAATACCTTAATACTGCATCAAGTTATTTAGAACTTTTGAATATCCTGTTTAAGTATGAAATATAGCTATAAAATAAAGTTTATTTCATAATAATATATTTAGCATTTTATTTACAATATATTTACTAATCAAAAGTTAAAATTTTGATTTTATTAAGGGCAACAAATAAACAAACACCAACAAAATTTTGGTTCAAACATTTCATTAATTAAAATTTAAAAATGTTAACAAAATAAATTATTATAAACTGCATAATAATTATAAATAAATAAGTATAAGTCTAGATAACAAATAGCCACCAAACAACTAATGACAATATTAATTGCATTTCATTTATAACAAATGAAACAATTGGTAATAAAATGTGTTAATAATTGGATGTCACGGATATATTATCGGGAAGACAGGCGCCATCATCAAGAGATCCCCACTTTCTGATATCTTGTGAGTTAATGGATTGCATTTGTTTGAAATTGGATTCTGCCTTGCTATTTTTGATTCCATAACCAAAATACACAAATAATCCTGCAATTTAAAAACAATAGTTGTACGTTAATTTAGTTACAAAGACATTAAATTTATGATTACCAATAATCATCCAAAATATAAGTCGAATCCATGTCAATGTCTGCAGATTTATCATTAGACCGATGTTGAAGAATACAGAAAGAGTGGGCACAAGTGGCACAAATGGAACGGTATATGATTGGCTCATTGATGTCAACTCTTGCTTATGGAAACCAATTAATAACAGTATTAAACACATCATTAATAATAAGATTGCGATTATAACAAGTTGAAATGTTTGGTGATTAGCCTAAAGTAAAGATATTGAATATAGAGTAAGATATTATAATTTATATTAACCTTTGAGTTCACATAAACTGATTAATAAAAGAGCGTTAATGTTATAATTACTTCATTGAAATGTTTAACCAAAAGACAAAACGCGAATATTATGACCACTAAAGTGAAGACACAGATAGAGACCATGGATTTGGGCGAATATTTATTCATCCAATATATGAAACAACTTCTGAATCTACAAAATCTAAATGAATTCCACATATTATGGTCTGATTGTGAAGTCGAGGAATCGTTGTCCACGAGTTCGTCAATGAGTTTATTCTCTTCATTCATATTCGATGACTCGACGGACAAGTCATTCAACTCTTGATTATTGACTTCTGTTGTGAGACTTTGACGACAACTGGACTGAACGGTGGGTTCGTATCGGATGACAATGACAGAGGCGCTGACCACTAGATATGCGATGAGTGTCCCGATTGACATCATTTCGATCAAAGTTGTGATGTCTATGAAGAGAGCCATAAGGGCTCCGATGGACGCGAAGAAATACATGGCATGCAATGGGATTTGAGTTCGCGGATTCACTGCACCCATCCATGAGAAGAGGAGGCCGTCGTCAGACATGGCGTATACGATACGAGTCAATGAGAACATAGTGCCGATGAGCACCGTTACCATTCCACAGGAGGCGCCCACTATTACAATTAGTTTTATCCAAACGGCTCCGTGAACTCCAAAGGCATCGGGAAGTCCCGACTCAGCATTGATTTCATTGTATGGGACCATTAGCGTGAGGACAGCCGATACGGCCACGTATGAGATGGTGGCAAATGTCATCGATCTGTACATAAATTTTAATTGATTTAAATATTTCATAAATTATTGTCATATAATTGCTACATAAATGTTGCCATTGGTATAGACTTCTGAGGATTTTTTGCTTCTTCTCCAGAACTACTGATTGAATCAAATCTATTGAAATTGACAGAAAATATGTTTTAATAATTGAATTGAAATAAATTGAAGACACACTCACCCGATATAAGCATAAAAACAAGTGGCACTGCCCGCAAACACTCCCCGCCACCCGTATGGCATAAACCCATTTGGGATGTCTTTCCAATTCTTTAGATCCGAGTAATACAATCCGACCACAATTATGGTCACAATTACAGCTATGTTTATCATTGAAAACAGATTATTTAAATATGACGTGATTTTAACACCAGTTGTCATAAACACCATCAAAACGATTACAATAAAAAATGCAAATATATCCACATTTTCTGAAAAATAATTTAGACCAATGTTTGAGGCCAGGGATGCCAACGTGTAGTTTCTTATTTGTCCGTTTAATAGTGAATCCATATATGCAGAACAGGCCCGACTCACGGCTGCCGTTCCGATCACGTTCTCTAATATCTATATAATTGGATTAATTTCTTAATTGAGATATGATATGAATATAACTCCGAAAAATATGATACCATACCATATTCCAACCCACTATGAATGACCAGAGTTCACCCAATGCTAAGTAAGAATCTACGATAAATGTATATAATAAGGATAATTAATAGCATTTCGAGAATATAAATGTAAGAAATAATGAGATGGGAGACCAACACGAATAAGCGGATCCGCATTTGGGGAAACGACCGGCAAATTCGGCATAACTCAGTGCACTCAGGAATGAAGCCAAACCTGAGATCATAAACGATACGATTATAGCCGGGCCAGCGATATTGCGCGCAACTGATGAGGTCAACACATAAGCACCTGTAGGCCAATAAACAATTAGCAAGGGCTCAACAATAGGGGTGTGAATGACTGAAGTGATGCGATACTGACCCGAACCAACCATATGGCCGATGCCTAACAATACGATATCAAATGTTGAGAGACAGCGCCGGAGTTGAGTTTCCAGCAAATCTGTCTGAGTATTGATTTGTTTGGTTCTTCTCATTTTGGCCCACATTTCAGTCAACATAGTTGTCGTCTTCGAGTGCATGGCTCTCGACATCTCTCGAACCGTGAATTCGTGTCCACTCTTCAAATGTGTCGTCGATTTGAATGTTTGTATTTACTGTTCACTCAAATCTTCAAACTTTTATTTTCTTGACATTGCGTTACATTAAAAAAAATCGATTCGTTAAACAAATCGTAAATCATTGGCGATTGACATAAAAATAAATTGCTTTTAATTTATTAGCTCCGAAACTTGAGTGTTAATAAATTAAATTTAAATAATAGTTTTATTAGTGAATACAATGCAGTCTAATGTAAAACATAGAGTGTATTAATATAAGGACAAGAAATGAATGTTTTGAGACAATTTGCGCGCACATGAAGTGCTCAGTTATGTGGCTTTCGATGATTATTCTCTCGTCGCGAATAAATCGATAAAATAGATCGAAGAGTGGGAAGAGTGCAGAGCATTGCAAACACACAGACAGAGCGCCTAATGTCGAGCGGAGGAGTACTGAGTGGTTAGTAGTCAACTGTAGTGTCAATCCACACAATTACTTGCCGTAGATTTAGTTGGCGCTCACATTTAGTGAATATTTAGTTCAACAATGAGATTTATTGCACTTTATTAGTTTCATATCATCTCAACTCTCACCACTATATCACCACCCATTCAGTCACATATCGTTCCCATTTTATTGCCATTTAATTTAACTCATTGTTAACTATCGCCACAATTATTGCAAGAATTCTATTCAAATCAGTTATGCATTCAATGAGTTGTGAAGACATAAGTCTACCTAAACTGAGAATAGATACCTTTCCCATCATTTGGAGCCCAAGAGCCTAAGAAGCGCAACAATTTAGGTGAGTGTCCATCCATTTATGAGAACCACTGCTGAGTACAACAATTATTGATGTATTAAATGTCTAACAAATGATTGTGTGAACGCGTGACCAATCGCTTCACAATCGCTTGTACTCTATATCGCTATCAAATCATTTGCTTCTCTTTCCTCACTTTCCTATTATTGAAAACTCCACTTATTATTCAATTCATTACTCCATTCAATGAGTGATTCTTATGTTTTACCCACACTTCCAAACCAAATGACAAAATGGATGTCATATTTGAAAAGTTGTCAAAAATATAGTTTCTATTCTAAAAAGCTTTTCTTGGATCACATCAAAGAATTAGATATCTGTTGGTTCAGTGATTGAATTGCACCCAAAATGCTGGCAAATAAAGACCAACAGAATCGCAATGACATAAAAACCAATTTCATGACAATAGTCGGCAAATTGATTCGCACTAAAGAACCCGACCTTTTAGTTGAGGATCAATCACATAAACTCCAGGTTTGTGTTGAAAACTTTATTCAATTATATATAAGTCTATTACACAACAAGCAAATGAAATCTGATTTTTATATTATATGAAAAATGATTAAAAACTAATTTGCTTTTCTTATTTGCATTTTATTCTATAAAGAGATGTTTGAAAACTAGAGATCTCGTCTCCTTAGGGGTTGGTAGTTGTGTGGGCACAGGCATGTACCTGGGTGAGTCGCATCTTATATCTTTTTATGTTTACTGTTTATTTCATTCAACTACTTATACATAGGATTTTATTGAATTCAACTTTTCCTTCATTTTATCGATTATATTCTTTACAAAATTCTTGAAAATTAATGATAAAAAGATATATTTTATGAAAGATTCTTTACTTCACGCCAACACTTTCACACTAACACACTGTATATTATAATTCCAATTATTTTT